GACCTAAGATTTAAACCCTGCCCTGTAAGACATCAGAGCCTGTTTTCCTCTCTCTTATACAGTGTATTAAGTTTCTTCTTCTCCTTGTCTTTTACTTATTCAACTTTAAACTTTTTGAAGCAAAGAGTAGTATTATCATCACAGTTACGTTTCCAGTGCATAGTACAATGTCTTTTATGCAACATATTTTGAGAATACAGAATAAAAGGAGAAGCCTTTGCACCACCCTTAAGTTTCTCATAAAACTAAAGGATAGACATCTAAAAATATACTTTTGGTATAATGAGATAAATGCACTATTATAGATAAACATGATTTGCCATGGGAGTGAAGATGGGGGGCACAGAGCCCAGACTCTGAGTGCTTGGATTCCTAAAAGAGCTGAGACCTGAGTTGAATATGAACAGACTAACTTACTAGTTGCATTTCCACTATTTTTTTTTTAGAGAAGGAAAGAGAGGGTGAAAGTGAGTGGGGATCAGAGAGAGAGAGAAAGAGAGACTGAAAGAGATAAGGTTCACTTGAAGTGGGGTCAAGCTCATCTGATGCAGGACTTGAACTCATGAACTATGGGGTCATGACCTGAGCTGAAGTCAGTTGCTTAAATGACTGAGCCATCCAGGCACCCTCTACTAAGTTTGTCTCCAGGGGAAATTCAAATAATATAATACTCTCCATGACAAAAGATTAAGGATAAACTCCATTCAATTTTTGAAAAATTGGGATGTAAATCCATTGGTCATATTTTTGTTAAAAAATAGTTCCATAAGCTGATATACCATTGCCAAATTACTGTTAAGACATGGTAATTGTTGGGGGTCAAGGACAAGAGTGTAAATACTGATTTTGAAATTTTCATGTGGCAAATGATTATTGGGAGTCTGGTTGAATAAAAGCTCAAAGTCTTCAAGAATAGGCTAGGTTGAAGACTCCTGAAGATTCTTTCCAGACCTGGTAGTCTCTGATCCTCTGTTTTGCCAATGATTTGCTCTGAGAACATAGTAAAATATTCACTGTTTCAATAAATACAAGTAATCATGGTCTGAATAGGAAAAGTAGCATTGTAAGTCAGATAATTGCAACTTTGAGCTAGACCTCAAGGATTTCTAATCTGAATTCAAATGAGCTCCTGAGGTGGGTATCATCAATAGACCCAGCTTCTTAAGGCAAACAGGGCTGCTGTCCTTGGTGCTGACAATGATGTTTACATTGATGCTCTTTGAGTCAGAACAAGAACAAGAGTGAGATGGAGTGGCACAGAGGGAGAGTATGAGCATTAATCTAGACACACTAAACAATTATTTCTCATTCATTTAACTAGTAGACATCACTTTTGCTATGCTAAGTACATATAGGTAGTGATTTTTCTGGGATTTTTCACTTATTAATCAAGTTTATATTTTTTAACAGTAACAAGTTTTTTTACATAAGAGGTTCAAAGTGATTACCCTTCAGTGTTACATTTTCAATGTTGATTTCTCAGTTTGCCATAATAGCTTTTGTGTGCATCTCGTATCAGGTAGTGCCTTCCTTCTATTTCAGCAAATTTAAATACCATTTTACATTATTTCTTAGTGTTCACCTTTTCACAGACATCAGTTCAATTTCTCTGAATTTAAAAATAACTCAAGTTGAAATTAGTCTATCTATGTAAATGGAAATTTGTTATACCTCATTTCTTCCTCTACAACAATGTGGCTGATCCTCCTGTCTGTACTTAATAACAACCCAAATTCCTTAGGCTGATGACATTATTTGTTGGTCAGCATGGAAGAATACTGTGAGTCATTGTCTTTTGCATTTAGTTTTTTAAGTATGATAAAGATTTTGCCTCATTTCTCCATTTTTCTTAACATTTTGCTGATTATAGGTCAGTAAATTTCATACCAGCCACTATCTTTCAGGCTATTTATTCATTTCCCCTTTAACTTTTCTTATGTAACTCTTTTTTTCCCAATTTTTCCCCAGTTTTCTTCAAAATATTTGTCTCTTTCTCTTTGTCCCATTTGTGAAAAAAAAGAAGCTAATCCAGTCTATTCAGTATATATGAGTTTTGGTGGCAATATTTCTATAGTAAAGGGAATGAAAGCTGAAAGCTTTGATGTGGAATTAGGCAGAATAAAGAGCCAGTGCATTGAATCTCTAAACCCACTGAAGAATGCACAGTAAATGCATTCAGGGTCCTTAAAAGTCAACATTGCCTTCCTTATCTTTCTGTAACTAAACTTACTTTTATCAAGAAAATGTTGATTTTTCTGTTTTATTTTCCTCTTTTTTTGGTGTTTCAACCATAATTTTTTTTTATAATTTTTTCCTACTGCAGTTGTATAATATTTCAGTTTCTTTTTTTATGTTTTATTTATTTATTTTTTGAAAGAGAGAGAGACAGCGCAAGCAGGGGAGGGTCAGAGAAAGAGGGAGACACAGAATCTAAAGAGAGGCTCCAGGCTCTGAGCTAGCTGTTGGCACAGAGCCCGATACGGGGCTCGAACCCACAAACCTGAGATCATGACCTGAACTGAAGTTGGATGCTTAACTGATTGAGCCACCCAGGAGCCCCTAATATTTCAGTTTTAACTAAAATTTAAAAGATTTTCTAAATTGGAGCTTATAGGTGATGTATATCATTTCATTATGTCTTTGAGGTCAAAGAGATTGGCATGTAACTTTTGGAGAATGTTCATTTCCATCATAGGGCCTGTCTGTATTAATTTCTTATGCTTGATGGATTTTATTAAATGTTTCATTGCCATCCATTTATTTTCAAAACTGACTGCCTCCATTTCCTTTGAATCAAACAAATAACTACCTTAGTAGGTTTTTCTTTATTCTTAAAAACTCCAGTTTTTAATATATATTCATCTATTCACATGACAATCATTCATGACAATTATTAATAGAGTGCTTAGTAAATATCAGGAATCATACTAAGTCCTGAGGTAGAAATGCTTAAGAAATGGTCCTATATCAAGTGTTCATGCTTTAGCAGAGGTTGCCAGATGAATAAACATAATTATGAGCAGTGTTAATTGAATTGCAACAAAGGTACAAAGTATCATGGGAAAATAGGAAAGAGAACCAATTTATCCACTGGGTCCAGAGCTGGGAACCTTCTGATATGACGTTGAAGAATTGCCCCTACTGAACTAATAGCTGAGCAGGGATTACTGGCACTGATTGTGATACATTTGGTACTAATATGGCTTTGGAGTCAGACAGATCTGGAAACAAATTCTGGACCAGCCACTTTCTAAGCGGTATTCCCTCTAAGAATCAGCTTTTTCATCTACACAGTGGTAGTGATGATACCTGCCTCACATAATGGGGTTAAATAAGATAATCATGTTCATACCTTTTCTTTAAGCTTCTCTGCATGAAATTTAGAGATAACAAGAGCAATGGAAGGACCAAATTCTGAGTTTTGGTGGCAATATTTCTATAGTAAAGGGAATGAAAGCTGAAAGCTTTGATGTGGAATTAGGCAGAATAAAGAGCCAGTGCATTGAATCTCTAAACCCACTGAAGAATGCACAGTAAATGCATTCAGGGTCCTTAAAAGTCAACATTGCCTTCCTTATCTTTCTGTAACTAAACTTACTTATTTACATGCTTAATTTATGATTTTCACTTATGATTTTCACTACAACCTTATTAAGTATATACTATCATTTCTAGTATCCTGGTTGACAAGGAATAATAGAGGAATTTACAGGAGTTTAAGTGTTTTGCCCTAAGAATGTGATTAGTAAAGGATAGAGTAAGAGTTTGAACTCAGATCTGTGGAGCACTGAAGCCCTCGTCTGTATCTAATTTTATACTCTTGCTTTCTGCCCTGTTATGTTGAATTAAGGTTGCCGAGTGTGGTAGACATTGTCCTACAGATTCTGGCTTCTCACATTATAGTCCGTAGCAAGTAGGGAGGCTCAACTGCCATTTTCAGTAAGTAGGAAGGAGAGAGCAGACATCCAGGTCAAGGATTTTCTTTAAAGCAAGTAATATCAAAGTTGCCTCTATCGCTTCCATTCACTTTCCATCAGTGCAAATAGGTCACCACATCTCTTTGTAAGATGGGATGGAAAATTTAGGTTCTAGTTGGATAGCTACTTGCTCAGGAAGGAGAGGAGAATAGATTTGGGGAGACTACCATCAATTTCAATTACAATGCTCAATAAACATCCATTGAATGAGTAAATGAAGAAGAGCAAAGCCTATAAGCAAACATGGTCCCCAAAGAGACAAAGACAAAGCTTGATCCACAAGCCTACAGCCCCAAGTCAGCATGCCGATACGTCTTTCCAGCTAATTCATGCCAAAACACATCTGCAGGCATAGCCACCTATTGTAAGTATCTCTTCACTATAGTGTTTTCCTTTAATCTCTGGCTGTCAACTTTTCTCTCGAATGCAGAATGGGATCGAAGCCACAGAAGAGCTTTTGTGAGCTCCATGGATTATGCTACTCTCTTAAGGAAGACAAAGTGACAGGTTGTACAGCACTTATCTGTATCACCTGTCAGGGACTCTTCATCCTGGGGCAGAGGAGAGTATCAGGAGTTTCAGCTGGTTATTTGTGATCCTCTTACCAGGATGACTCCATTGGCGTTGGGAGTTTCTCTGACACTGGTGGAATGTGGTTTTAGTTCTCCTAAAAAAAGTGCTGGAAGTTTTCTACCTCTGTACTTCTGGACTCTGTCAGATCAATATCCTAGCTGGGAACTCCATCTCCACAACTTCTTTTCTGTAATGTAACACTTTCTTTGTTTCATTAGAGAGTTTTTTTCACAGCCACTGCAGGGGCATGCATTGTATGATGCCCAACTGGTAGCAGATAATTCACCCCACACAGAGCGTGACCACTCTTGTTTGTTGCCTGAGGGTATGGCAGATTCTTATTAATTTCACTGAGGCAACAGCCAGAATTACAATAGACTGTGAATGCAGAAGAGAAAAAGTTACATTTCAGGGGAAGGAGTCAGTGAGGCTGTATTCTTCCAGACTTACCAAGGTGGAACCTTTTTCTCTCACTTGTAAGCTGAAAAAATAAAGAATAACTACTGAAACCTTATATCTCTTTAAGCTCTTTCATTCCTAGGAGCTTAAAGTGACTCTGTAGACCTACATCTCATTTATTTCCACAACATCCCTGTGGAGTCAGAGGCTAGTTTTTCTTTTACTGTCCAGAGGGAAGGTAATGCCCTGAGAACTTAAGTGATTTGTATTCAAAGTCAAAAAGTGAGTCAAATTGTAAAACCAATGTTTGAAATCAAGTGCTCTGCCTCTTCACCCAGGGGCTGCTTTAAGATGATAGTATTTGGGGAAGAAATATAGCTGGGAGAACTCAAAATATATGACAAAGATACACATGTCAAGTTATATCAAGATTCAGATCTGATAATGTTACTTAGTTCACAGATTTAAAAACATGCTCCCAATGACTTGACAATATTTAATGATGTGAACTGTTCTCACTCCCTTAAGCTACAGGCACAGGGATCATTATTCTGTATTTAGATTGGAATGATGCCCTGAAATCAGAGTTCCTAAATAGCACTAATGATTTCACATATTTCAGGAAGAATGGGGGACAATGGCCATGCACATAATTGATGCTCATTAAATTGTTGTAGAATAGTTATTATAACAAATTTAAAAGTGGATCTAGATTCACTTATAGATTTGTCAGGTTGGAGCAGGGTCTCCTTAGCTCCTATGATACTTTGTGCATATTAGGAAAAGTGCTTCTCTTCCAGGTGGACACAGCCCTAGGCCAGGGTACATAGCTTGGTGAGCAGAACCTTAGCTGATTTCAGCCTCATTTATCTATCTCCTCAACTGGATGCTGTTTGTGGCAATCTAGGGATAGAACAATACCCTTCAGAGTCATCTGGTCTACTTTCCCTCATTCAGGAAGTATAACATCATGCCTACCTCACAATAGAGGTGAATCTATTTTTAAAGACCTCTTGGAAAGATATTTTCACAACCCCATCAGTCACTCATAATAATATTCTGGCCTCCACGCACGTTGCACTCCCTCTGGCTCTGACCTTAGTTCTCTAGTTGCTAATGCCATGACTGCAATGTCCCCCAACTTGTGGAAAGCTGCAGGCCACATAGTTGTTGAGTATCTAGTATACTCATGACCTGAGACCCTCATGCATGGTAAATCCTCTTTACCATGGACAATGGGAGGGGAATTTAATTGCTTTGGATGATGATGGACCATCTTCTTCATTTTGCTTCTGAAGTCTTGTCAGAAGCATTTTCTACTTCATTTGACATTCTAGGATCCTTTCCCTATATCCACTTGGTCCTTCAGTTTCTACTTCTTTCCATATTATATCCTGTGTTTCCATCTTTTAACACTTAATAATTCTCCATTGTACTTCAAGGTCATCAAGGGTAAGAATTGTGTATGCATATAGTCTCATTGATACCATGTAATGCTGGGCACTAGAGATATCGACTGGACACTCTCTTTCTATGTATATGTATTGAATTAATGAATCAGTGAATGAATTAATGAATTATACTCAGTTGCTCTTGAGAGGACCTAGCAAAATATACCTCCATGTTACAGACTACTGGAAGATGAAGGGTGGAAAAGATATTCATTATATACACATTACCTTGTAACATGGCCAAAAGTCAACATCTTCTCAGGCAAATGGGCAATACTTCTGTACTTGATAACTTTCAAATTTGTAGGTGCTGGAAGGTGTTAAGACTATAGCTTAATTGAAATTCTCTAGCTTCTTCAATTGTCAGAACTAAATGCTATTCTGAGAGGGAGCTCTATATTCCCATGGTAACAGGGCTCCATTAAAGGCATGACATCACAAAGCTGTCCTTGTTTGAGGACACCTGGGAATTTCGAGTATAGACAGAAATATCCTTAAAGGCAAATTATACATACGTATTCTGTGCAATTATGTGCACATGCATAGATATGCCTAATTTAGCCACACCTTTCATTTGGTCTCATTTATCATTAGACTTTTAACGACTCAAATCTCAAGTGTGGATGTCATTCAAGGTGCTTTATCTTCTTAAAGGAGAGTCATCTAAATTTTGGAATAAATATCTACCATTAGATAGATGGTGCTGCTCTGGGGCAGAAAAGAAAAAAAATCAAATCCCTTCCTTGTCTACTTATTATTACTTGTAGCACAATTAAAGGAGTTTTGATTCTTAACACGCCCTCTAAAATGGATAAGTACGTTGTCTTTGTGCAAAATTATCCAGCACCGTGCAGCTGACTGGCTATTCATGACATAGGTCAGTTCCAGCGATGTGCCTGAAGGGATTGTACAGACAACCTGGCAAGGTCACCATGAGTGACTTTTATGTCTTTCCTTTCCTGGTTAAAAAAATTAGTCAAAATACTCAACAATTTGTTATTTTGTAGATGCCTCTAAATACTTGGCACAGTATCTGAAAAAGGAAAAGATTTAAAAGAAAAGAAGAAAACAGAAGGGTCAATGAATTTGAGAATGATCTTGATTAACTCACCATTGGAATAATCCCTTTGCTTAGTTATGGATCCCTCCCTATCAGAGACCATGCTTTTAATGTGTCCACTTTCATATTACACAATGCTGCCAGGAAAGGCACAGGCAGACTGGATTAGCTCTGAGTATGTAGGAAAATATCACAAGGTGAAAGGCTGGCTATGAAGTTGGTTAGCTCATAAATAATACAAACTTCACAGGATTTGTAAGACGAAAATGGGAACAATTTGCATAGCTTGTGTTGTACGAACAAGTGTGTCTAAGCGTTTACGCAGGCTGAAGAGATACTTCAAGCTGGAGTATTTGCCAAGGTAACTTATCTCTTGGGGTGCTTTTAAAGATTCTTGCTGTGCTTCCCTCCATCCAGCCCCCCCAACCCCCCGTAAATTCCTTGGAATTGTTTAAAGGTGTGAGGCTGAACGCTTGGCTTTGTTTATGACAGTGAGTCAAACAGAGTTCTCTGAAATGAAACTCTAATGCTGTTTTTCCGAAATGATATTTACGTAGGGTCCCTTCATTGACATTCACACTTTGGTTTTGAGAAACAATTTGCTACATTTTCTCCATTTCAAATGAGTCCTGAGCAGTGGTCTGCATGAGGATTTTCCTGAGGGCTAGGTGAACAAAATATCTGAGGATCAAAAATTACTTTCTCTGTGTCTGTTAAATCCCATACATTTCTAAGTTAATTTTCCCCCCAGTGGAAAAACATGCTCATCTAGAAAATTAAGCTGGAAGGAAACTTGGAAAACATAGAATTCAATCCCTTCATTTTCAGAAATGAAACGAAGCAAGAAGAAACTAAGCCATGCCTCTAATTTGTGGCAGAACCAGGGCAAGAAACCAGGAATCCCAGCTACTAGTTTGTTTCTAACACGACACACATACAGTATACGTATGCCTGTAATATATGTGTATGTATATTCCTGCATCTTAGCAATAAACTACTCACATTTATGTATATATATAAATATAGTTTGAATTCTAATTGTATCTAACCCCTTATGCTTCGAAATATGTGGTCTGTGGACCTGCAGAATTGCCATCACCAGGAGCTTGTTAGAGATGAAGAATCTCAGGCTCTACCTGAAACCTACTGAATCACAACCTGTAGTCTAATAGGATCCGCAGGTGATTCATATGCATTAAATTTGAGAAGCACTGTTCTAACAATTCCTGGATTTCTGTAATAATGAAGTACAGTGATTCAGAGTCCAGAGATAATCCAAAACATTCATTATATATGTTGATTTCTCATCTCTCTTTTCTCTCTTGCACCAAATTTTACAGTCACTTCTAGCTGCCACAAAATAAAATGATGTTGAAATCTATCATGTCCATTCCATGCTTGCCTTTTGGTAGGAAGGCTTGCCTTCAGTTCAGATTCTGCTTTCCTCTATTCAAATAATTCTTGCTAATAGGTATTGCCTGTGTGATCTGTGCCCCAGAGTATACTAAGTACCTTGCATCCATTATCCCTTTTGATCCATGCAAAAATGGTATGAGGATAAATGATCATAATCTCCATTTTCCGGAAGAGGAGACTGAGGCTGAAAGAGATAGGATGTGTCAGAGCTTGGACTCAAATTGAGATTTAGCTCTTTTAGTGTATGAAAGTTAATCGCAACATACGTTGCTTCTGCAATTCAAATTTCTAATTTGCTTTTTCTCTCAAGCATGTATGCCTCTAGAAAATTAAATTATCTTACCAAGTAAAAACCAGAAGTCAAACTTAGCACATGGTGGGCACTTAAGAAATACTTGGTGAATAAAGGTATGAATGAATGAAAAGGCCCACGTCTCCCTGATGAGAAAGCACATGGTCTCTCTGTAACACTAAGAAAAGGGGAGATGTCCAGCAGAAGAGATATTTCCCATTTTAAGGCAGCTTGTGTTTCCCTGGGGTCCCTAATCCCTTTCCCCTCTTTCTGCTTTCCTTTGCTTTTCTTTGCTCTGTGTATTACTACAAATGCCCTACGGTTTTTCTACATTTTCAGTTTTTATTCTTGTTCTCTGGTCTTACGTAGTAGTCTGCCTGGGGGACTGAGGCCAAATCTAGTGTTATTCTTGGAGCCCCTGAGCTACTACTTCAGGGATTCCAAGAGAGTCCCATTAACCCTAATCCTCTCCCATTTCCAGGGAATTTAGGAGCTCGAGCATCAAACTTTAGGTTAAGATTCTATGTTATTAGGCTTTTGCACACAGTATCAGTGAAAGATCAAGGATCAGTCCCTGAGGAGGAAAGAAAAATATAGGGATGCTGAATGCCTGGGACTAAGAGGGATGGGGGTAAGGAAAAATGAAGGCTGATCCACTTGAGAGGTCATTCTGGGAGAACTGAAGATAAGTGGCCTGTTACCCACTTTAAAGCAGTGCTGGCTCCGAAGACGTAAAGGGTGGTGGGGCCGGTGCAGGACAGGGGAGCCCTCCTGCCCTGAACGCTGGCCTGGACGGTGTACCTGCACCCTTGTTGGGATTCGGTACAAGAAGACAAGAGTCACGCCAGTCTGGGTCTCATTTCCTGAGTTATAAAGCAATGCGGTTTAGGCGTTTATTTCCTTTTGTTTGGGAGGGTTAAGAAAAGGGACTCTAAATTAGGAAAGTGGCAAGCTGGGTTCTGAGGGACAGGCTCAAAAGGGCCAAGTAAGGAGCATACAGCTTGCATCTGCTTGGACGGTTTGGCCTGTGGTCTCCTCCCTGGCGCGGGCCCTTCATTCTTGACTTTGGGGAATAGCTCCCCTTGGCACATGACTCCACAGCACCAGCTGATCTCAGAGTTTCAGAGGCTCTGTGCCATGTAAGTTCCCAGCATATATGACCGCCTGCAGGACGGGAAGGTGATAGGAACACCTAGCCTAAAGCGTGCTTTGGAATTTTCCAGAGGCACTTTTCAAACCTCTGAGCTGCCAATGGTGATCTGAATGTCATCTGCTATTTTACTATTTTTACTTTGTAAATGATTAATATGTTAAAAAGAGTCCTTGCCCCATATGCGTTCATCTGGTGTGTGTGTGTGTGTGTGTGTGTGTGGTGTGTGTGTGTGTTTGACTTAGTTTCTAGGGTGGAAAAACATCTTTGCAAACAAATTTATGGTCCTTCAGCTAGGAATATATGAGAAATTGATTTAAGTCTCCTCATTCATTCAACCCAGATATGTGGAGCATGAGCGGCTTTATGCAGGAGTTGGAGATAAAGATAAGCAAAATACAGCCTCTGCTTTTAAGGAATTCCTAGTGGAGTGAAGAGGAGGTAGGTATGCAAACAGGTAATTGGAATACCGTGTGACAAATGATATAGTGGAGGTGGCAATAGAGTATTATGGGAACACGGAGGAGGGAGGGGCAGGCTCTGTTTGGGAAATTAGATGGTTTCACGGAAAATATGCTATCTGCAGATGGTGAAGCTGCAATACTTAATTTCCACATTATATCTCCAACTTTAGATGACATTTGATTGTTTAAGGGCTCAGTAACAAATCTTTCCCTTTATCTGTGTCCCTCTGTAATAGAGCAAACAATTATAATCAAGTGAAATGCATCAAAGCAAATAGTGTAGGGTTAAAAGTAAAAGCCACTCTTTGCTGATGTGGGTCGGCTCCTGGCAGCTGCAGAGAGCACTTAATTTTATAGTTTTTCTGATTAAGGCTTTTTCCAGCCACTCCTTCAGTAGAATAGGTAAGCAAAGCAAACAGGCTAGCAAGCAACATCACAGATCTTGTATTTCAGTCTTCCCTGCTTCTGGCATATTTAGCAGGATGTCATCTGCCTCGTGCACAAGGAAAATAAAATTGCTTGCATGAGGCCCCGGTTACAGTGAGGAAGGGGGAAGCAGGAAGGAATTCAATCTTTGGCTTAGAGAAATCTAATTCTCTCAAGGTGTATTGAAGTCTGCAAAGCTGTTATCTTTCTGAGCAGCTAGATGCAACCTGGAAATGTAGCTCCTAATAGCCTCGGTGAGATTAAGTGAAGCTTCTGTGATTGTGGTCCTTACACACAGATCAGGTTGGGTTTGACTCCCATCCCCCAGTCAGCCTGCACGGGGGTCCCACCTGCTCCACCCCATGGTTTTTCACCTCCTCCCCGATGCCCCTAATCCACTGGCATCTCTGTAGGAGAAAGGAGGAATGAGCGGCTTGACAGCTTGGAAGGCTACTTTTAATAGTAATTGATGGAAGGGACTCAAGAAGGCCACCATTCTATTATTCTTGCTGCAGGAAAGGTTATCAGGGCATGATGGAGCCACGCTC